ATTTTAAATGTCAATTAAATGGAAATATATACTACAGGTTCCTAGATAGGAATATTATAAAGATGTGAATTTGTTCCTAATTAATGTATAATAATAAATAATATAATTAACTAATTACAAAAATAATAAAATGTATTAAGACCTTACCCTGTGCTAGGCATTGGTTCAAGGAATTAGCATATGTTCATTTATATTTTAAATATAATTTACATGGTTGTATAAATTTACATAAATTACCTTACACTTAACTTTAATTTTCACAACAACACTATGAGGTAAGTAGTGGTATTACCTCCATTTTATAGATAAGGAAACTGAAGCACAAAAAGGCTGTAGAATTTGCCCAGTGACACTGTAGTAGTAAGTGGCAGGTGAGAATTCAAACCCAGGAAGAATTTCTGCAGAGCATAAGCTTGTGTGGATAATATTACAAGAATTCTAATCAAAATGCTAGTAAGAGTTTTCCTTTGGGAACTTGACAAAGTGGTTATCTATAAGAAGAAAGTAGATGAAATTAACTTTTAAATGTTTTTTTTAAGAATAATACAAAAGTAAAGAGCTAACTCGGCCAGATATTCAACCAAATTCTAAAGCTGTGATAATTAAAAGGGTGCTTCGGCCCAAAGATGGACAGAAGGTCAATGGAACAAAGTCTCAAATTAGAAAGACATATACGTGAATTTAATATAGATAGAGGAGGTTTTACAAAGCATGGGGAGAGGGAAGGTTATTCAGTGAGTGCTGTAAAAATTATTGATTAACTTTTTTTGAGGGAAAAAAAGAATCATAGACTATAAACCAAAATAGATTCCAGATTAATTAAATGTAAAGATACATAAAATACTTTTAAACTTTCTATAATTCTAATATCATTTCTAAATGGAAATTAAATTCCTAAGCATAGAAAAGAACAGTCATTTTACTACATCATTCAACAGATTTTTATTAAGCACGTATTATTATGCACCATGTACTGTGAACCTATAAATGGAACATATAAATAAAATATAAATGGAATACGCTGTATTTTTTCTAGAACCATGAAAAACACTAAAAAGGAAATAATCGATGTGAAAAGATCTTTTTAGTAATCATAGCAATATATTAAGATCCTTAACAAATAAATAATTCATATAAATTGGTAGAAAAATGCTAAAATTCCAGCAAATAAATGAGGAAGAAGTACAAACTGACAACTCAAGAAAAGGGAAAAACAAAGGCTCCATAAATATTTGTTTAAAAACTATAGTTTCAAACTCATTAGTAATCAAAGTAATGCAAATCAAAACAAGTGATCGTGTATAACTTACCAAATTCACAGTGTAGGTAAGGGTACGATGAGGCAAGATCTTTCAAATACTGCTGCTAGGAATAAAATTCATAGAAAAAAAAATCTGCTTCTACATAAGAAAGATTTTTTAAAACCTCACACCCTTTGACATCTTAATTCCTCTCTTAGGAATCTGTCCTAAAAGAGTAATCAGAAATGCTAGCAAAGAGTTATGTGAAAAATGTTCATCATAACATTGTTTTTCATACAAAAAAAAAAAAACTGGGGAAGGGATATAATCTAACTATATAAGAATAGATGCTGTTTTAGTGAATAGTAGTACTTCTATTAATGGGATATTAATATACTAAATTAAATATATTAAACAATGTATGCAATCAAGTGAAAAGCACAAAACATGAAATCGTATAATCTCTTAATCATGTAAAAATATATACAGAGAATGGATTAAAAAGAAAGTATGCCAGATATTTTGTCTAGGATTTAAAACTGTAAGATTTTTTTAAATTTTCCCTACTTCTAAATTTTCTATTTTGAGCACCAAAAGGTAGAGTCAGGAATTAAGAATATAAAGTGTGTTAACAGTTTAAAAGAAAAAAATCAATAGATGTATCAATCATTTGTCTTGCTAATAATACTAATTTTACTCCTCCTATATTCCTAGCTATGATATTTTATATTGCTATTTGACCACCATTTTGCCTAATTGCCATAGATGGTGTTATATTAATATTCCTAAAATGAGATAAAGAAAAGGTAGGGGAAATGTTTTCTCCAATGTCAGTAAAATAATACAAGCTCCTGGAAATTTACAACCTGAAATGCCACCACCAGAACCAAATTTAAAGTTGAATATAGGGACGATTCCCCCTAAGAAGTCAGCAAAAATTTTTGCTCTATTTTAAAGGTGATTAAACAAAGTTGTAACAACCTCATTATTGTTAAACACATACCGTGAATTATTACCATTATTATTATATACTATTATAATCAGACCACAAACTATCACTATCATTAGAGATACATTTAATATATTTTAACAAAGGCTGTTGCCATGAACAAGAAAGCCACATGTTCCTCTGCGGACCCCCATTCACTCTTTGGCAGTGACAGCTAAAGCAGTGGTCCACTCATTTTGGAGCACAGAAAACTCACCAGGAAGTGAAAAATCCCATCTTTCACATGTTTTAAAGCATGTTAGTACTTATTTCATATTTTAAAAAGCGTATAGACTTAGAATTTCTCTCTACTCGTTCAGTATTCTGCCTAGGTAGAGGGAACTTTAGTTTATCCTTTAAACTTAACTTTTCCTTCCTCCAAAAACATAAAGCCACTGTCGCCATTTCAAGCAAGAAAGAAAGCTTAATTCCTTATTACCTGAATAACTTTGTTTTTTCTGTCCTGAAATTTTGCATAAAAACATTTGCATAGGAGAGTGGGTGGGGAACCTCCATGAATCAGAATAGATAACTATAATAACTTTTTCGTTTTAATGTTTCCATTTTCAATCTACTGTTCTGGTGGTATTGTAGTCAATGTGTGGGGAGGGGGTAGACAGATGTCATAAAATGAACAACTGGAAACCAAACTCTTACAAATCTCTTTGTGGATAAAAAGCCTGCCTCTTAGTTGAAAAAAGAATAAAATGAGCTCTGTCCACAGACACAGTGGCAGAATCATTCCTGACTTACTCCAACATTTTCCAGTTGAATCGGTCGATCCCTGTCCACAAGCAGAGAACAGTCACTTCTTCTAGCTGTCTTCTACCCACATTTCAGACTTGGCTTTGTAGCTCAGTTCAGGGATACAGAGCCATGACTTGACTTTAGTCATGTAACTCTTGCCTGCTCTCGTCTTCTGGGTTTCCTGACTCATTCTTTTTCCTCTACAAACACTGATCACAGAACCTAAAGCAAGGTGTGCGGTTGAGGGGAGCATTGCCTCCATTCAAATCAGAGGGGAGACCTTGCATATTTGCTTTCTGTGTTTACTGGGAATAAAGCCATGGGAGTGGTGGCTGGGTGCACCCAAGATAACATTGAAATGTCCAGATGCACAGGCCTGTTTCCGGGAGAACCTGTCTGCAGGCTAGAGATTGGGGCATGGGTGTGTGGGGCTGTGTATCAGGGCCCTGACATCCAGATTTGGGGAAAGTCTCATTAAAATGTGTCTGAATTCGGAGGCCAGACACACACCACCTATGGGAAGCAGCAGGTCCATCAGTTCCCTAACATAATTCTAAAATCAAATTATGTAGACAAAACGCCATGGCTGATCTCCAGCCAAGTCTCTCTTTTGTGTGACTATATAATCCTGATATTTTGACCAACTGTCGTGAAAACCGCTTTTGCAAAATGTAGAAGGTGACAGTGTGTGAGACCTGAATGGGCTCTGAAGTGTTCTAGTTTAATCTGTCCATGTTACAGATGAAAAAACTGTGACCCACAGAGGTTGAGCCATTGTTCCAAATCACGCAGCACACGGCGTGTTAGGGACAGTGTCAGGAGCAGATGCTAGGCCTCTCAGTAACCAGGTCAGGGTCTCTGGCCCAGCCTGCCCTGTGCCCTCCTCCTGGCCTTTGTGGAACTTCCATGTCTGCATGCCACGTGGTCTTCACGTGGTTCTTGCAACAGGAGTGAAAGGGTGAGATGGCCGTCAATACAATGCCCTGCTTCTTCTCATCCCAGTTCCAATATCAGTGGACCGAGAGCCTATCTCTAGGATTTGGCTTCCTGTTCTCAAAAGAGGGGACAACTCTGCCTGCCTCTGCCACTCCATATGGAAACAGAGAAGGAGCCCCAGATTGGAAGTTGAGATGGGAGCTCCACCTTTGTCATCTTTAAAGTAGCTGTGGGGGCTTCCCTGGTGGCGCAGTGGTTGAGAGTCCGCCTGCCGATGCAGGGGACACGGGTTCGTGCCCCGGTCCTAGAGGATCCCACATGCCACGGAGCAGCTGGGCCCGTGAGCCATGGCCGCTGAGCCTGCGCGTCCAGAGCCTGTGCTTCGCAACGGGAGAGGCCACAACAGTGAGAGGCCCGCGTACCGCAAAAAAAAAAAAAAAAAAAAGTAGCTGTGGCTCAAGGCACTTGGGCAAGTTTCTTAACCTGTTTGTAGGTCGCTTGACTCACAGCCCCCCCCAAAAAATATGGGTGGGAAATAATAATACCTGCCCTACCCATTTCTGTAAGATCAAAATGGAACTATGTCAGTGAAACGTGTTTTTAGTCGTGAGGAGAAAATGTTAACATCTGGTGTAAGAGGAGATTCCTGGAGCCTTTTTTTTTTTAAGTGAGGTCAGGCGAAGTGGTTTCCTGTGATGAGCAGAGCCTAAAGGAAGGGCTTTTTTTTTTTGGTGGTGGTGCGGTGGCGGAGGGGTGGGGGGTGGGGGGGGCGTTCTCAGCTGCGCTTCTTCCCCAGAGGGTGGCGCCCTCTGGGCAGAGCCCGAGCCAGGATGGGGCGGGGGTGCACTCAGACTGCCTCGCCCTCAAACCAGCTGGGCCTGCGCGGTGCAGCGGGACAAGTGCCTCTTGGGGCTGCTTCCCTAACAAATGAAAAAATAATGCCCTTGAACCAAGAGTGAAACTGAACTATCTAAGGAAAACACTGTGAGCAAACACTAAGGGCTGAGGGAAACCATCTAATCAGAGCAGCTCCCCGGGAGCACAGCAGGACGAAGGAGGCAGCTGGGTGGGAGGACGGTGACCCAGGCCATGTCCACCACCACATGTCAAGTGGTGGGCTTCCTGCTGTCCATGCTGGGCCTGGCCGGCTGCATCACTGCCACGGTGATGGACATGTGGAGCACCCAGGACCTGTACGACAACCCTGTCACCGCCGTGTTCCAGTACGAAGGGCTCTGGCGCAGCTGCGTGCAGCAGAGCTCCGGCTTCACCCAGTGCCGGCCCTACTTCACCATCCTGGGCCTGCCAGGTAGGCGAGGGCACAGGTGAGGCAGGGAAGGGCCTGCTTCTCTCACCGCAGCCAGGAGGGACTGGTGAGATGCGCGCAGGGCATGACCCTCGCAGCACGGGCTTCAGATCGGAGGTGTGAATAAGAGGAGAAGTTGACCCGGTGTCAAAGAGGGCTATAGTCGTAGCAGTGAATATCGGAGACTTCGTACTCAGGTCAAAGGAATTGCTAGTAAGGAAGCAGGTCTTGAAAAGAATGGGTCTATCGTGAGGACAAGCTCATGGTACTAGAATAGACAATGTTTCTCAAGGAGAAAAGTAATCGTGTGCATGTATGTGCATTGCTCTTGCCTGCACACACATGGGAATAGGTAGGATGGTGACTATTTTCTTCCAGTCCAGAAAGTTTATTGGGAGCTAATATCATTTCATTATCAATTCAATTAATTTTTCCTTTGAAAAGCTGGAGTTCTCTGTAGGTGCCAGAAAGTATACATTGCCATTAAACTATAAATATCTTTTCTCTGCATTTGTGTTGAGAGGTTCTGGTCTGCCCTCCTAAAAAACAATGCATGTCAAAATGTAATTATAGAACTGTAATGATATTATAATAATTTCAGAATATAAATATAATTATAAATGTGACATCGTTTCACCCCTGAAGATAAAATCCGCTAAATCCCTGTTTCTCATACAGATAATTATTTCAAATAGGAATCATAGGAACTTTGCATTCTAGATATTATGGAAGCTCTACTTGCATTTGTTTTTTAAAGCAAAAAGAAGTAAAAGGTCAGGCTAATCAGTGGCCCAGATGTGAGTTTGGTGAGGAAAGGAAAACAGGGCTGGGTTTTGTCTCTCTGAAACAAACACTTTGTGGACAGGTAGATGGGAATAAGTTTGCACAAAACTGTTAGGAGCCTGTGAAGCCCTTGAAATTGAATTGTAAAGAGCAATTCAATTAATTCATTTCCATGTGTAGAAAGAAATAGAAGGTGGGTGGCAGAGTGGAAGAATTGGGGTATTGACTCCATTTTTTAGAAGCCACTTGTGTTGCAGGACAGACCCATCCCTGACTGAGACCTGCTTAGAGAATCAAGGGTGGTAGAACCTGGCCGGAGGGAAGGAAACCCTGGAGGAGGGATGATGCTATAGCGTGAGGGCAAAGGTCAGAAGGGAGGAGATGTGAGACCGTGGATTGTTGAGTTGCTAGCTAATTTTAACTATTAAATGAAAAAATAAGACTGACCTTACGTTGAAAATTAAGGCATGACATTCCGTGACTTCAGCTCGTTAACCCAGGGCCCCATCACCTGTTATCAATCTCTTGCTCATTCTGTATTTTTCTACACATGGGGCTCCCGAATATCCCCACTCCCCTAAATGGCCAGACCCCATCGCTGCCACTCTCATGGCCTTTCCTGTTCTATCGAGGGATCCCATCCTCCCTGAGCCCTCCCAGAACCTCTCCTCATCTCCCCACCTCTCTGCAGAACAAGATCCCCTCCCTCCCTCCCTCCCGCCCAAGGCCGACCTCTCCACCCCGGCTCTGAATGCCCCACACCCTCCTGTCTGGCCATCACCACTGATCAGCCCCTCTCCTTTCTGCCTCTTTCATCTTCCCTCCTCTCTTTTGCTTATATCCTCCTTTACTGGAAAACCTTCTCTTGATGCGCATCATCGTCAATTTCTGTCTCTCCCCGGCTCACTGACAATCAAATTAAAAGACTCAATTTTTCTACCACCCCTCACTCTTAACCTCTGGTTTCTATCCTTCATCTCTTTAGAGTGTTTTCTGCTTTGATTGTGGCAGAAAGTCGGGCAGAATCTTCCAGTCACCAACTTCCAGTTCTCACCTCTCATCTCCCTGGATATTTCAAGACCTAACCAGCTTCCATGGTTCCCCACTCCCAGCTTAATTAGGTGCAGACATGACAGCCTGACACCCACCCCCTCCTGCATTGCTCACCTCCCTTCCCTGACCCATCTCTTACCAGCCCTTTGCCCACAGCCTAAGGTTTTCCCTGTCCATTTACTATGCCTTGGGCTTGGTCCTGGATACCCATTGCCCCTACTGCCCAAATGTCCCCCCTCTTACACCCCAACTGCAACCTGCACAAATCTTCCCATATGTGAGGTCCAGCTCAATACCATCTCCTCCCTGAAGCCCCCTCACATCCCCAAATAAAAAAGGATCCCACAGATCTCTGTACCACTCCTGACAACTGCTCACAAATCTGAAACTCTGAAAAGCTCCAGGCAGCCTTCACAGAGGGGGACCCCAGCCCTGCCGGTCTGCATCGGGGAAACAGGATCCCACCAAAATCCAGGAAAGACATTTCTTGGGACTGAGTTGGTGGGAGAGGAGATACTTTAAATCGTTGATGATGTATGGCCTTGGAGAACAGTGTGGATTTAAGAATAGCCAGTCCTCAAGGCAGCAGGAGTGACTACAGTGTCAACTGGCATCCTGAAATATTGTGAATAAAAGGAGATCTTCCCCCCTACCTTGGTCCAGGCCTTTCTCTTCCTCCTCTTCCCAAGTCTTCTTCCATTCCTGCCCTTCACACTCTCCCACCCATGGCTTTCAAATTCTCAACTATATTTTATCATCATGTGAGAGGATTCAGGTTTGTACACGGTTAACACAAATCAAAGCCATGTCAGGCTGGAGAGAGATAACTGCTTTTTCTCAAATTGTTTTATTGTTTTAAATTAATTTTTATACAATTTTTAAAGCTTACTTTCCAGTTACAGTTATTACCAAATGTTGGTCACATTCCCGTGTTGTTCAATACATCCCTGTAGCCTAGATTACACCCGATAGTTTGTATCTCCCACTCCCACACCCCTATATTGCCCCTCCCCCGCTCCCCACTGGTAACCACTAGTTTGTTCTCTATGGAGAGATAACTTCTTTTTAGGGAAGGTGAAGAAACTAAAACTTACTGAGGCTGGCTTAGTTCCATGCTGGGGCCAAGCAGCATCTGATCCTCACAACATTTCTTTGCAAGAAATATCTCTATCCCACTCCAGAGTTGAGGAGACTTGGCTTCCGTGAGGTAAAAAGACTTGCCTAATGACACTCACCTGGTATCATGAAGTCTGCAGGTTTTCATGAGATACACAGGACCTCCATATCAGTTCCCTGGGATCTCTGGGGAATCAAAGACTTCCCACCTTGTTCTGAAGGGCTTTCCCTCTGAGGTCTGGCCTTAGACTTCCCTCCTCTGGGATCCCCTCCTTTGGGCTCCTCCACCAGCCATTCCTGCCTTCAACCTGAAGCCAAGCTGTGCCTGAAGATATGGGTCCTCCCCCTCCCACCCCAACAAAGGCCCCATTTCCAGTCTTTGGCACTTTGTGACTTGCGGTCTCATCAGCCCCACCCACACCCCCTAGCCAGCTTAGTGATGTCAGCCACTGGGAACTCTTTCCTCTCAACTCCCCATTCTGAGCACCTCCTCCTCAGCCTTCTTGAGGGCTGTTTTCCCAGATTATTCCTTGCAATTTTATGTCACTGAACAATTAAATGAAAATCCCTAGGGATCAAGGCAAAACATTAACATTTCTTTAGAAGTTTCCCCAGGAGAGGCTAAGGTACAGCCAGGATTGGGAACCACGCCTTGCCTGTCAGTTCATAGCTACTTTGGGGGAACAAGATATATTGCAACGGTGGGGGGTGGGGGGGCGGAAACTGAGTTCCCATTTTTCTGTTTGCTTCTGTCAGCCCTGAATCCTGCCCACCTTTCAGGTCTGATAATACGTCTTTGTTCATTGGAAAGAATGCTGTAGTCACACCTTTGGTGCAGGGAATCAGTCTATAGAACCCGTTGACTCACCTGTTATCAGCTGATAAGCCTATGCCCCTTGCTCAGAATATCAAATAAGAGACAGAGAGGCTAAAAGAGAAATCTTACCTCCTTTGGAAGCAGTTCCTCTGGTGACTTATCCATGGAGACGGATTAGTATTCCAGGTGCTAGAATATTCCAGATGGAAAGGAAGTTCGGGTCACCACCGTGCATCCCCATGGTCATTACTAGACATAGGGGGGTTCCAGCAATGAGTAGTGAAGAACATTTCCCCTCGCTTCCTGACAGCTGCCCCCATCACAGCTCCCACCCTCAGAAGAACACCCACAAGGGGTCTCGAAAGCAAGGAAGTTCTTGGTTCATCCATCCAGGTCCGGTGTTGTTGGCTCTGACAGTGGCCCCGCAAGATTTAAGACAGTGTTGTGTCTTTGCCCAACCACAGGCTAAAAGAAAGTGGTAATCTAACCCTAACCCTAGAAGGAGATTCTAAAAAATAAAAAGGAGCTCAGGGTCAGGGTGGACCCCTGGTTCAAAGCAGGTACCAGTGTTCATCAGAAATCCAGAGATCAAGAGAGAGCAGTAAAGAATGAGGTCTTGTCATGCATACCTGACCCAGCAAAGGCAAGAGGGCATCTGAGAGCCTGAGGCAAAGGCTGTCTTTGCAAAGGCAAAGACAGGCTGGCTACGGCTTCGGTACCCAAAGAATCCTGTGGCACACACAGCAGCAGCTGCTCTCCACATCAGGCAAGCCAGGTGCTTTTATCTCCCACCAGCTGGCATCACCATCCCTTCTAATCCAGCAATGTCAGGGAAGACCACATACTTCAGCCACAGCCATAGCACATACATGGTATGTTTTCAGGAACAAATAGTAGTTAAAGAGATTCAATGACCCCATCCTTGCCAACAGTCCAGGATGAGTAAAATTTTGCATAGAATGAGGAAGGGATATTTTTTATCCTACTTGGTTAATATTGTTTATTTGGCTGGTTGATTGGTTGATTGGTTGGTTGGTTGGTTGGTTGGGTTTTAGTTGTTTTAACCAGATGCCTTGCCAGGTGCTTCTCAAAAGTGATAGAAGATTTTGTTCTCCGAATGGCTTAAGGCTTAAAATATCAGAACAAGAGCAGTTTTTAAAACCTTTAACAGGTTCCTGAGTAGATCTGAAGTTCATAAGAGGCCCATGAGGACAAGACGGAAGGAAAGTCAAAGTCCCTTCCTCCTCTCATAGGTCCAGTTTTCTGGTAGCAACATGCAAAAATAGAAGAGCCCTGAGGGTATTTCCTGAAGTCTGGGGCTGCCCCACAAATGTCCTCTCCACAGCTGTCCTGAACCACAGCCTTAGAGTTTAATTGTGTGTGTGAAAGAGAGCTAGAACCACACGATGAGTGACTGTCAGAAAGGGGTTCTATTATGATTTCTTAGCCAAGGTACTCCCAAGGTGAAAACAAATTTGAGGTTCAGGATTTCCAGTGAAAATATAATCTTTCCAGGTTGTAAGCTGCTTGAAGACAGAGATTATTTCTCGTGAAATTTTATTCTTCCTACAGCATCTGGCAAAGGGCTTTGCAGAGAATTTGAGCTTAAGAATACATGATGGATGAATGAATGAATGAATGAATGAATTCATGGATGAGTGCATGAATCTGTTAATGTTTGACTATGAAAGTATACCAACATGTGCTGGATGAATACACAAAGGTATAAATAAATACACAAGTAGATGTCACATGCCTGCATTTGTTAATGAGGGAATGGATGAGGTGTTTGTTCCCAGTATGTGTGGGGTCAACAAAGCCATTGGGCAAGGCTTTGGAAAACAGAGGTGACACACTAGAGTCCTCTTATATTGAGGAGTGGATCCAGAGGCCACTCTTAAGCCCTCATGAGTTCTTTTCACCTTACTGGGGCCACCGTGGCTCTAGCATCAGGAAACTGCAAGCCCAAGACGCTAATGTTCATCAATTCTTCTAGGAATGAATGGTCAGATCCTGGAAGATTGGTCCACACCGTACACCAACACATTTACCCCCAGAATAGAGTGGTTAATAGGACCAAGACTGATGATGGATGCTTAGAGAAATCTCTTCCCAGCAGGGAAGCAAAGTTAAAAGCAGAAGTTTCTTTAGGGAGAAGAGAATCAGAATTAAGTGAATGGAAGTCAATGGCACAGAACTAGAGTAGCTGGTTACCATTGTCTCACTACCTGATGAGAAAGTTGCCGGGGCCTCCATTCCTCAGACACTGCAGAAGGCTCTTTAATGAACTGTGCATGACCTACCTCTCCTGTTTTCAATATCTTTCATTGATTTCCCATTCTTCCATCATGACAAATTGCTTTATGATACACACGTTAGAGTGAATAAGCAGGCAGCTCCCCTGATATCGGCCATATTTGAGATGAAATCTTCCCTAAGAGACTGGAGAGAATTCCTCCCAGGGCTCCCTTGTCTTGAGAGTCACATTTATAAATAATCTCCTGGGACAGGCAATTCCCTGAGATGATTTTTGGAGAATATTCCTTTATACATTCTTAGCATCCATTTCAGAGGATGACATTTTATGGTCTAGTCTCCAAGTTTGAAGGATACATTCTGTTAGGAGCTTACAGATCCCTATACCTTGCTGGCAGCCAGAACTCTACCTGTTTTTCCAGGATAAAGTATCTCAGAGCAATGTATTGTGATGGGAAAATAACCATTTTGAAACAGTTCCAGGTTTGCCTTTCCCTTGATATGTGTCTTTGGGCAGTTATTTAACCTCTGAGTCTCAATTTTTTCAATCATAAAACAGAGATAATAATACTACCTACATTGCAAGGGAGTTTTTATATGGATTCAATCTCTTAACGTTGAAAAGTCCCTAATAGCTTTCAATTAAAAGTAGAAGTTGGCGGGCTTCCCTGGTGGCGCAGTGGTTGAGAGTCTGCCTGCCGATGCAGGGGACACGGGTTCGTGCCCCGGTCCGGGAAGATCCCACATGCCGCGGAGCGGCTGGGCCCGTGAGCCATGGCTGCTGAGCCTGCGCGTCTGGAGCCTGTGCTCCGCAACGGGAGAGGCCACAACAGTAAGAGGCCCGCGTACCGGAAAAAAAAAAGTAGCAGTTGGCTATGACAACTAGAATAGGACAGAGCTCTCTGCTTTGCTTCACATGGTTCTTCAGTTCTGCTCTACCAGAACTACCCACACTAGTGGCCTTTCCCTCTGGAAGACACAAGAACTAATTTATCTTCCTTTTGTAAAATTAATTATGCTTGTGGTGGACATGTTTAATGACTTTCTTTCCCCACTTTGGCATAAGCTCCGTGAGGGCAGAGACCATATCCGACCTGTTACTCACGGTCATCCCCATGCCTACTCATGCAGGCTCAGTAAAAAACTGTTGGGATGAGTCACTGCACCTTAAGGATGCACTAGAAACCTCTTTGGAAATATCTGGAGGGCAGGCCACTGCAGGCGAGTCCCAGCAGGATGTACAGCTTCCATTGATTCCTGGAAGGGGAACTGCTGATAAACTGTGGTTGTGCTGAAAGGCCTGAGATTGATATAATCGTCAAACCTACAGCTCACCACGACCTTAGTAGTGTCTTTGGGAAGAGGCAACAATACAGTGCCCCTGGTATACCACCTAGTGACCTTGCTTCATTATAGGCTGTGAGTATTGAGATTTCTGGAAGCGGACACAACCCTATGAAGCCCTGAGTTCCTATGGAAAGACTAGAGAAGAAAGATGTTTGGGTTAGAAGTCAAAGCAACACAGTTTTACTATAAGCTCTATCAATAATTTTTCATGGCACCTCAGTCAAGCCATTTCCCCCTTCTTGGACCCCAGGTTATCAAGCTTTCAAATGAGGACATGAAGTAGCTAAATTCCCTTGGCCCTCCCAGCTCCAACAGTTCATAATTTTCTCATTCTATAGACTCCTGCGTGCATGTCTTTCATCCATCAGGGGAGTGTAAGCGATGGTTTTGCGTTTTTCACAATTTCATATCCCCTGAGGATGATAAGGTTCCCAGTTTATGGACTTGCCTTTTCTCAGCAGTTTGGTGCTGGTTGGCTGTCGTCGTTTCGTTGTATTACACCAGAGCCTACTCAATCACGTGGAGGTGGTCTTACTTGTCTGCTTGTGTCTTGCCCCTCGCCCCGCAGCCATGCTGCAGGCCGTGCGAGCCCTGATGATTGTGGGCATCGTCCTGAGTATCATTGGCCTCCTGGTGTCCATCTTCGCCCTCAAGTGCATCCGCATCGGCAGCATGGATGACTCTGCCAAAGCCAAAATGACACTTACCTCCGGGATCATGTTCATCATCTCAGGTAAACAAGGAGCCTGGGGTTCCCTCTCTCACATGCGCATCCAGGAATGCCAAAGCAAAATCATTCTGGCAGAGGACAGGGCTTCTCCCTAGTGAGCATGGTTTGAACATGGATCAGAGCGTTACACGCTGGGATTCAAGATCTGAGATTAAGGCTCACTTACACTCTACAGAATTATCACGAGTGCTGGTGTCCCTCTTAGCTGCCACCCTCGCCTCACTATGAGAGATTCTCAGCTCTAGGTAGACATGTGACTCAATCCCTAAAGGCATTATTTTGGTGAGACTTTAGAAAATGATTTTAAGGGAAAAGCCCTTGACATCATCAAAGAACCAGGCCCAAAATATTTGTACTACTGACCCCTGGTCCCAAGATGGAAAATCTCTTTCTGCGCACGTACAAATCCTTCCTCAGCTGGAGAGATAAAAGAGTGTAGGCACCTAGCACAGGGTCTGACTCACAGTGGGAATTCAATAATCGATGCTTGGATTGACCATCCTGTTATAGGAATAGCATATTCTGCAGCCTGCTCCTCTAAACTCGTTTAAACATACATTGCCTCACAAACAATGTGATCCATTTAAAGCTGACTCCGGAGTTTTCTTTTTCTTGCCCACAGGTCTCTGTGCAATCGCTGGAGTGTCTGTATTTGCCAACATGCTGGTGACTAACTTCTGGATGTCCACAGCTAACATGTACACCAGCATGGGTGGGATGGTGCAGACCGTCCAGACCAGGTAACCCCCTAATCTAGTCTCAGTATTCCGTGGTGAACATTGTTGTAAAAATCCGATTAAACACGTATGCCTAATGTGACTGTCAGCGCCTGAAATAGCAAAAATTTATCAGAGGCAACCATGCCATATCATAAATCAACAATGATCTGTAAATTCATAAGCTTCATTTCAGTGAAATATCCTTGGCGATATGACTTGAGGCTGATCTGACATTTGCATTGAAATACAGCGACAGTTCACAGTATTTATCTACCACTCTTACACAGGCCCCATTGTGGTGGCAATGAAACAGGCACTGCTAACCCAAGCCTGTAAGTGAGCGTCACCCCCACGTCTCCAGTCCATGACGGGAACCCAGCTAGGGACAGGGCAAAGCTGGAATCGAAATGAGGGAGGTGCGGTACAGATGAGAAAAGTAATGTTTCTTCCTTGTACGGCTGCTCTTTCTCTCATTCATTCATTCATTCATTCTACAAATGTATCGAACATACAGGCACTCTTCTGAGGTCTGGGGATAACGACAAGGTCCTCGTTCTCACGGAGGTCACGGTCTAGTGGAGGGAGATGAAACCTCACTGTAATTTGGTGTCGGAAGCAGAGCAGAACTTTTCAAAGATGGAAGAGCAATTCCAATACCTATATTCATTTAGCCACTTCAAAGGGATGTATTTCATAGCAAGAAGCAGCAGCAAATTCCTGAAGGAGAAAGATCTTGTTCTGGGAGAGCAATGTAAATATTATACCTAAGTGCCCCGTCATCTCTGGAGTGGATACACTTGGTATTTCTCTAGCAGCACCATCATGGGAGACAGATGAGCGTGAGCACGTGATAAATCCATTACTCTCTGGCTCCCTGGAACTCCACTCGCCACCCATGTTCCCGCTTTATTTCAAGAATAGGAAAAAGTGTGATCCCCATAAGCTGCCCTCATCCTCCTTTACCGTCCCCTCATGGTCTCTTGACTACACGGGCTACTTAGAAGCATGTTGATCAACTCGTCCTGGTTTTCCTGGGATTTTCCCAGTTTTAGCACTGATAGTCCCAGATCCTGGGAAACTTCTCTGTCACAGGCACATCAGGATGGTTGGTCACCCTATTTTGAAGAGCTCGCCTCGGCCGCAGTATCTGGGTGCCTGGTGTCACTGCCCCTGCCTGAGGAGTCACCCACCCGCCTGGCACCCAGCGCTAATGCCCGCCATCACTCTCTTACACCGTCTCCTTAGAACATTCCCGTGTCCCTTGGGCAGGCAACTTCAGAGATTTTGTTCTCAGACAATCCTGTTTTGATGTAATTGAGTCCCATTGGAGGCAGCCCTCCAAGGGGAAGGGCACCAGCCTTGGTGGACTGGAATTCAGTGTGGACTGGAACAGAAGCACCATGAGGGTGGGGTCTGTGTCTGTTTTGTTCATCCCTTTGTCCCAGTGCCTGGCAGTGCCAGGCACATAGTAGGAGCTCAATAAATACTTGTTGAACAAATGAGTAAAGAAATGAATGAAAGAATGACTGGTCTCTTCACATTAGGTCTTTCTAAACTTAATGCTCCTACCGGCATGGATGGTTACCAGGGTTACTTGAGTTAGAGATTTATCCACAGTAAGAACCCAAGAGACCAAAACTCCTTCTGAAATAATAACTTGAGACTGATTCCCTAATCTCTCAAACTTCTCTTACCAAACCTTCAAGACACTTCCCTTTGCCAATAGGGAGGGAGGGGGATTTCCTGAGATGTTTCTCTGAAATTAGAAGTTTACAATTAATTCTATGCCTGAGTGATGCTAGGGGCCTAAGAATCCCACAGCTTTTTTGCTGAGTAGCTTCAGTCCCAATTCTATTCTCCAGGACACCTGATTCAGTTGACTGCGACCCAAAGGGCTGTATTCAGGAGCGGGCTGGGATAGATGTAGAATCCAAAAGTGGGGACAGAGAGGATGGGCATGGCCAGGTTCACGGGGTAGAGCCCGGGGAGTTGAGTCAACCACATTCACAGCCACCGTCTCCCCACCCAGGTACACCTTTGGTGCGGCTCTGTTTGTCGGCTGGGTCGCTGGAGGCCTCACGCTAATTGGGGGCGTGCTGATGTGCATCACGTGCCGGGGCCTGACGCCCGAGGAAACCAAGTGAGTCTCCCCGTCCCAATGCAATCCGATGTTTTATCCGAGTCCATTTTAACATATCATTTGCAGGCAGAATGATCAGTATAGGTACACGGAAGAACTCTACTGACAAGAGGATCATGAAGCTTATCTTTTACGAGGAGACCTAAAGAGCAGAACAGGCCTATTTCAGCCTGAGCAGATTTAGAAATGATGCTATTGAAGGAAAACCCCAGCCCTCTAGGATTCCCCCCCACACCCGACTCCAGTATTCTGTAACTCAATGGTCCTCAGCTGGGAGCAATTTTACCCACCTCCCACCCCCACCCCCACCCCCCCACCCTGGTCCCCAGGAGATATTGGGCAACATCTGAAGACTCTTGATGGTTACAGCTTTGGGGTGGAAGGGTTGGGTGATCCTGGAATCTGGTGCTAAATATCCTACAGAGCACAGGACAGGCCCCTACAGCAAAGAAGTATCCGTTCCAAAATGTTAGTAGCACCGCTGCTGAGAATGCCTGTTGTGCCTCTGTAACTGGGCCTGGGGTTGGGAGACCTGGATCCCAGTCAGGTGCTCCTGTTCACCAGCCCCGTGACCTCTAGCCAGTCATTTGCCCTCTCTGAGCCTCTGTTACCTCATCCACATACCAAGCAGATTAGGGGAGATGGGTTGCATGTAAATACCTCCCAGCTCACAAATTCTATGATTCTTTGGCATGACCATGTTCACCTGGACATCATTTCTGGTTCCGCTTCATCTTAATTGATGAACAGAGGGAACTCACTAGTCACTAACCCCCCAGCTCTAATACAAAGCAAGAAATTCTGCTCTACCACAGAGGCTGAAAAGCCAGTGTCCCAAAGCCCAGGGAAGCAACTGTCTCAGTTTGCCGAGGACTAAGGGTTTCCTGGGACACTGGACTTTCAGTGCTAAAAGTCAGACATCCTAGGGAAAATGAGTAGTTTGTCCTCCTACCAAATACATCTATGATCATAGAATATTTCTTTTGCTTTCAGCTACAAAGCCGTCTCTTATCACGCCTCGGGCCACAATGTTGCCTACAGGCCTGGAGGCTTCAAAGCCAGCACTGTCTTTGAGTCCAACACCAAAAACAAGAAGATATACGATGGGGGTGCCCGCACAGAAGATGAGGGACAATCTCATCCTTCCAAGTACGACTACGTGTAGCCCTCCAAGACACCTCGGCAGGAGCAGAAGAAATCCCCCAACTAGAGCTCACCCCAAAACAAGGACATTTTACCTTGATTTCCCATTGCTTTTGACTCACAGTTGGAAGTTAGAAAGCCTTGGTTTCACCTGTGGTGAGGCCAGATGGTCTTGGACACCGGCCTCTGTCTCTAAATGTTCCCTCACAAAACAGCTGAGTTAGCAGATGTGCCTTAGAGGCTATAGCCCACATTTTCCAATCCTCCGATCCTTTTCCAATCCATTTTCCAATCTTTCCAATCCTTCCAATCCTTTTCTTTTTTTTAACATAACCTTTTTAATCTGATGATAGAATGTGGTTTGAATTCCTATCCATCACTTAGATAATTTAGGCAGACTCTCCCTCCTCCTTCTAGCCAATGGCCCATTGATGATCTATTTCCCAACTCATCCCCCCAGAACAATTATGAAAGGAAAAAAAGAGTCAATCAAAAGACATCATTTTCTGCTATTCGATTTTTGCCCCTTCCCCCCACCCCCGCCCTAACTTGGCTACTAATAACACTGATTGAAGGAAAGTTAGTAGGGAAAAATATTTATCGTAACTGCAGCTCATTATCTGAGTTTTCTTACACTATGATCTTGAACGTTACTTGGACCAAAGTGATTTCAGTTTGATGAAACCAACCTTTTCCACTTCTGCTAACATCTGCTAATTCTAGCTGGACTCCCCACTGCAGGTCCTCTTTCTGCCACGGGCCAGAAACTGTCCTCAGAGGAATGAGAAAAGAATTTTTTTCTTTTTTCTTTTTTTTTTTTTTTTGGTAATCTAAATATATTTGGTGTGCTAAATATACTTAGAATAAATAATGTATTAGTGAAATGATACACTGTCTCTGTGAATCAGCCTCACCGCTGCACATGAATAGAAGAAAATGAAAAAAATAATTGCTCTGATGTTGTATTGTACTTTGTAAAATCACATTTAAGTCCAAATTTCATGAAATGCTCACTGATCCTATTTCTTTCCCTTTGAGGTCTCCTGGGCTCTGATTATAGATGATAGAATCAGTGTAATCCATGTAAAAACCAAATAATGGAACACAGCAGGTCCTAGGAAGTGAGTTGAAACGGGTTCTTTTTTTAAAAAGTGATGAGCCTGAATGTAATATTTCCAGGTGACAGGTGTCCACACTTCCATGGCTGCAGGCCACTAAGAGTTGAGGGTGGCACTTACTTGGCACTGTGGTCAGCTTTGTGACACTGAAAGCTGGTCCCTTCACTAAATTCATCTTGAGTGGTTGGACCGTTGGATGTTCGAGAACTCTCTGCAGCCACACGCCTTCCTTGTGTGCATCACTACTGCCAAAAGCCTAACCTCCTTCTTCCAGGCCACCAGAATCCCATCCCAGCACGAGAGCCAGAATAGGCCCCCCCCCAGGAAACTGAGGTAAGGCCAATCTCTCAAAACTACCTACTCAGGGAACAGCGCTGGCACTGGGGGAATCTGACCATTGGGTTATTCTTTGGAGGAAAAAAGTCCTCAGGCCAATAGTGCATATGAAAGTGGCCTCCAAGGAGATGGGTGAATATTCATAGGGGTCTTCAGGCTGTAAAGACTACGTGGGGGGGGGGGGTGGAGACCAGATCATGGCCCATTAAACAGAGAGGACTTGTGTTCACCAAGAATCCAAACAGTAAACCCAGAGACACTTCTCAATGAGACAGCAATGGTTTTAGGCCAAACCACATAAGAGCGCTCATGAAAATCATTGTCTAAGATGGGGTAAAGGATGAACAGATAAAATCAGGATGGACCTGGAGATTATCATACTAAGTGAAATAAGTCAGAGAGAGAAAGACAAATATCATATGATATCGCTTATATGCAGAATCTAAAAAAAAATGATACAAATGAACTTATTTACAAAACAGAAACAGACTCACAGACTTAGAGAATGAACTTATGGTCACCAGTGGGGAAGGGTAAGAGGGAGGGACAGATTGGAAGTTTGGGATTGACATGCACACACTGCTATGTTTAAATTACATAACCAACAAGGACCTACTGTAAAAAAAAAAAAAATTAAAATTAAAAAAAAGTCAGCAAGTGCATGCGCACACACACACACACACACACACACACACACACACACACAAGTGGAGGCTGGGAGAGAGAAAGCTGAGCAATGTAGGACATGGAGATTGTTCAGGGTTCTCAGGGTTTGAGTGGAAGGCCATGAACACAGTGAACTCTCCCCCGCACCACCACCAAGTCCCTAGTCAGGTCTGAGGCCCTGAGGTGTGGCTCAGCTGGGCTTTTAATTAGCACATTCTCTATCCAACACTTAATTGTTTGAAAGCTTCCATGTAGTTAGAGTGCGCTTTGTAAATTTTTTTTGTTGCTGCTCTGTCTTACTGTACATGCACTGAGTATTGACCTCCATGTTTTGTTACTTAAATATTAAAGATACTGTTTTCTCACATTCGAACAGCTTCTGCTCTTTTTTCCTTAGCGTCAGAATGTGGAGGTGGGAGTCTCGGCACCTCAAAGCCGAGTGCATCTCCCTGGGGTGTTTCTGTTTGCAGAATCTCTGTCTTCTCAGCAGCAGCCTGGCTGCCTGGAGGCCAGCCAGATCTGATCCAGTCCAGTTAGCAGTTTCTGCAACTTGGGAAGCCTGAATAAAAAGAGATTCCCAGAGCTGCCGGGCATGCAGCATGGGATCCAAAAACCAAGTTTAGCCTGTCTGACCCTGAGTGTGCCAGCCTGGAGTGTCTAATGTCATTGGTAAGCCCATGAGCTAGTAAAACAAGAGAGTCAGTGCCTGTCCCCTTGGTGACAGCAAGGTCTGGCTTGACCAGCTCCATTAGCCACACTCACTGATGCTGCATCAGGCTATGGAAACAGCATGCTCTATAGAAGCAGAACATCCCAACCTCAAATCCAGGCCGCACCATTTCCCAGCTGTGTTGGCTTGAACAAAACACTTAACCTTTCAGAATCTCAGTTTCCTTATCTACAGAATAGGTATAATAAGGCTAATGGAATAATGTGAGTAAAGGATCTATTTAAGTGAAAACATCTGACTTAAACAACTTAAGACAACCAGGGCCTTGGCTTGTGTAGCTAGCATATGAGGCCAGGATTGGCTTCAGGCACAGAAGGATCAAGGAATGTGCTCGAGACCCTACCTTTTTCTGCTCACGTCTCAGTTCTGCTTTCCTCTCAGTTGGTGTGTTTCTCAGGCAGGTTGTTCCCACGGGCTAGCAGTGATGGCTGATCATATTTCCAGGCATAGGCCATCTTTCGGCTCGGGAAACTTGCCAAAAAGGAGGTATCTCTTTCCTGATATCTGTAGGAGAAAAAAATCCTGATAAAACTCATTGGACTATTTGGGTCATGAATCTATTCCTATCCAGGTATCCATCCATCATCTCTTCCTATAGCCAGAGCAATGGTATTTAGCTTGGCCAAGCCTGGGTCCCACAGTCAAAACGTGGAGATGGGGACTTCCCTGGCGGTACAGTGGTAAAGAATCCGCCTTACAATGCAGGGGTCGCGGGTTCGATCCCTGGTCAGGAAAGTAAGATCCCACATGCCGCGGGGCAACTAAGCCCACATGCCACAACTACTGAGCTCGCGCGCCTGGACGACAGCCCGCGTGCTGCAAACTAAAGAGCCCACGTGCCCTGGAGCCTGTGGGCCACGACTAGAGAAGAGAAAATCCTGTGCCCGCGTGCACCACAATGAAGAGCCCGCGTGCCACAACTAAGACCTGACGCGGCCAAAAATAAATTAAATAAATAAATAATAAATAAATCTTAAAAAAAAAGAAGTGGAGATTTGTCATATACCACAAAGACTATATCCTAAGGACCCAGAGTCCTTAGCAATCAGGCACTCATTGCTTTGCCTCGATTTTATTTTTTTTTTTACCTCTTTGGTTGAAACTGAACTCCAAAAAAACCTTCAGAGGCACAACCTCTGAACCTCTCTGACCATTTACCAAATAGCACAGTATTTACAGTACAGAGAGGGAAGATCTGGGAGACCTCTTTGGTTCTCCCAGGAAACTGATAATTACAACCTAAAAATGGCACACAAAAAAAAAAGAAAAGAAAACAACCTTCACATTCAATTTTAAACAAGTGGGATTACCAAACTGGATAGTAGAAAACTAAGGTTAAGGACATTTTGAAGACTCTGTGCGAACACAGTATGTGCAAGTCATAATGTACAAGCTCAAAATATGACTCATCACTGTTAGCCATAAAAATCCCTGGGGAATCCTGAGGAGTGGGCTAGTGTTTCACTGTCATTCATGTTGAGGTCCAAAAGAAAGAGGGTTAAATCAATGTTTCCATGGGATGCCCAATTCTTTTACCTTTTTTCTTGGGTAATATTCAGCCCCATCCTGCCACCACAGATATTATACAGGGTCAACCACTGCAATGACTACAATTTGCGCCAAAGTGCCTGGTATCTCAGAGTTGGAACATTTCATTGGAGAGAGCACTGGGCTTGGAATCCAGTCTCTGGGGAAACCTGAACTTCTGGTCCCAACTCCACGGCCAACCAGTTATGTGACCTTCAGGGATCAATCACAATGATTCACCAACACGTTTTCACTATTTTGTTTCCTTATCAAGTCCTTGGGATTATCAGTACCGCATTTAGTGCTTTACATACCTTATCTCTAATCCCCCAACAACCCTGATGTCTCCTCATCAACCTCCATCCTGTGACCAGTCTGAGTGGCCCAAAGCTCCCAGATACTTGTCAGGAACCACACACGAGCAAACGTACACTCACCGATACTCACACAGACTCAGTCAGCTGTATCTCTGGGTCCTCAGCGGCACCCACAGTTTCTTTGATTTTTCAGTTCTCAGGCATTTGCATACACCTCGGAGCTGCTTTGGAACTATTCCATTTGTCCAGCTGAAGCCAGGCTGATTTATCATCCTTCCCAATGCACCCTGAGGAAGGAAAGGGATGATTTTCTTCAGAATAGCCCAAATGAATATGAAATGAGTAAAA